ACGTACCAAATCTACATACAAAGACACAGTACTATCATATAACATTTACACATAAAAACAGTGCGGACAAAATTATGTGCGTAAGACATAATGTTCCCATCAAGCGTCTACATAAGACACGATATTGGCAGATCAGGTCTATGGATGAGATACAGTATTAACTAGGGATGCATGGGTACTCGGCCAGATATTCGACTCCGGCAGAGTGTCGAAGTTAGACATCTAAGCCCTAATCTTTGTGGCAACTAACGCGGTACTGAAAGTTACAGTCAATAATTGGTTTAGTTAAAACAAACAAACAAAAAAAAACGTGTTCCGGGCAACAAAAATTGACCGCCCGCTGAAAGTTGGGGACTCAGAGAACAATAGGGGTTAATAATAACAGGCATGGCTTGAGAAGTGGATTTCTGGGGAAGGTGGGGTTTTTGAGAAAAATAGGGGTTAGGATTTAAGAAGTTGGTGCTAGGCATTGAAAGTTGGAAGTAAAACTTGAATGTTCTATTGGTGATTATTTGGTTAAATGTAATAAACATTAATTATGTTTTTGTTTCTAATTTTTGTGTATGTTGTTGTTTTTTGGGGGGGGGGGCGGGCAAGGGGAGAACCCGGTTCCGATTGACACCCAGCCAAATTTTACTACCCGTGCATCCCTAGTATTAACACACTAAGTTTCACATGAGGCACACTATTGAAGTATGTTTCTAGGACTATAACTTGTTACTGAAGTATGTTTCTAGGACTATAACTTGTTACTGGAGTATGCTTCTAGGACTATAACTTGTTACTGGAGTATGCTTCTAGGACTATAATTTGTTACTGGAGTATGTTTCTAGGACTATAACTTGTTACTGAAGTATGTTTTTAGGACTATAACTTGTTACTGGAGTATGTTTCTAGGACTATAACTTGTTACTGGAGTATGTTTCTAGGACTATAACTTGTTACTGGAGTATGTTTCTAGGACTATAAATTGTTACTGAAGTATGTTTCTAGGACTATAACTTGTTACTGGAGTATGTTTCTAGGACTATAACTTGTTACTGAAGTATGTTTCTAGGACTATAACTTGTTACTGGAGTATGTTTCTAGGACTATAACTTGTTACTGGAGTATGTTTCTAGGACTATAACTTGTTACTGGAGTATGTTTCTAGGACTATAACTTGTTAGTAGTAGCAAAATATTGTCGTAAAAATTCTCCAGTAACAAAATACTTCCCTAGAATCCCTGGGCGTCTTTACTCGTCAGAATAATTCTAGTAACACTCCATATTCTGCCCTGTCAAATTATAGTTATAGAAACACACTTAACCAATATGATGTTGTCCTGGAGAATCTGTGTGTCTTTATTTGTCAAAACAATCTTAGTAATACTTCGTGTCTTTCTATTTTAATTATTATCCTAGAAACACAATTCAGTAAAAAAATATTGTCCTAGAAACATACTCCAGTAACAAGTTATAGTCCTAGAAGCATACTCCAGCCCCAGAAACACCCAAAGTATAGTCTAGAAACCCTCTTGTTATAATATAATAGTAGTAGCAAAGTATAGTCTAGAAACCCTCTTCTTATAATATAATAGCCCCCAGAAACACCGTAGTAGCAAAGTATAGTCTAGAAACCCTCTTGCTCTAATATAATAGCCCCCAGAAACACTCTAGTAAGAGTGTTTCAAGTACTATATATTAATGATCGGAGCGTTTCCAGGACTGAATTATAATCAGCAAAGTATGTCTAGAAATATACATTTTAAGGGGAAAGAATACAGTATATTTAAAGGCTCAAATCGTGTTCTGAGCGATAGAATACTGGTGGGTTTCAAGAAAACAGTGAACCTGGTTCTTTACTATTTTTTATTTAGTTATCGGTCTTACAAGCAACGTTTTTTTTTTCTTTCACTCTTCCTCCATGTTCATTGCATTGTTCATTTTGGTCTAAAACAGCAGCACGAAAAGATACACAACTCTGAAATATTAAATTCCAGCGTTTTTATATGTTAGCCAAACATAACATATCAGTATCATTTTATCGTGGCAAGGTAGCCACGCGCAGTTTGATTTTTAAAGTTTGTTTTATAAATAAAACAAAGAGTATAAGCAACAATTTACAAGTTGGACTAGCCTGATTGACTGTTTGCCTTAGTTTATAAATGAGTAGACTCTCTTTTTATATATACCAATGATGAACCTAGTCTCCATATAAACTGGGCCAAAACTCAGTCGGTTTAGTTCAGCTTGTAAGTTGTTGCTTATCTTTATAACTTCAAAGAAAATGGCCGTTTAACTTTTTAAATAAATATAACAGCTATAAAACAATACATAATATTGTATGAAACATTGTAAAGGACACAAACAAGCCTTGTAGTGCAAAATTCAACTACGCTTCTGTAACGTCAGCACATTGTCCTTCATGTCTGATATCAAAAGAAACATTTCAGACTTTTGGACACCAGTATTCTTCCGTCATCCACGGACATCTTACATTGTTTTTATCCCAGTGTTTCTACGTCATACACTGTTTGTATCTCAGTATTCCTCCGACGTACAGAGACATCTTGCACTTTTTGTTTCTCAGTATTTCATGGTCATACATGGACATATTGCACTATTTGTATCTCAGTATTCCTCTGTCATATATGGACATATTGCACTGTTTGTATCTCATTATTCCTCTGTCATATGTGGACATATTGCACTGTTTGTATCTCAGTATTCCTCCGACGTACAGAGACATCTTGCACTTTTTGTTTCTCAGTATTCCTCTGTCATACATGGACATATTGCACTGTTTGTATCTCAGTATTCCTCCGACGTACAGAGACATCTTGCACTTTTTGTTTCTCAGTATTCCTCTGTCATACATGAACATATTGCACTGTTTGTATCTCAGTATTCCTCTGTCATATATGGACATATTGCACTGTTTGTATCTCAGTATTCCTCTGTCATATATGGACATATTGCACTGTTTGTATCTCAGTATTCCTCTGTCATACATGGACATATTGCACTGTATTTATTTCAGTATTTCTAACAGACATATTGCTCTATTTTTGGTATCTCATTATTTCTCCGTCACATACGGGCATTTTCCACTGTCTGTATCTCAGTATTCTTCCGACATACACGGAAATCTTGCATTGCTTGTATTTCTCCACATAATGTGACGAGTTTAACAGAAACATTGACCAAATACCCATATGTTGTTAAGATAATGATAATATCTGAACAGTTAATTGCATTATTGTTTTCATTAACATGTTGCTAAGGTAGTTATGATATTTTAACAATCTATCGAGTTAGGATTTTTATTAATATGTTTCTAAGGTAAATATGATATATTAACAATTTACTGAGTCATGGTTTCTAGTAACACGTTTCTAAAGTGATGATTATATCTGAACAATACATTAAGTTATTGTTGTAGTAATATGATTCTAAAGTAAATATGATATGTTAACAATTCTATGTTTGATCACGTGCCGAGTAAAGATGAGTTTAAAATGAGTTGCTCTACGAATATTCTGTTACAGAAGAATCCAAAAACAAAACATTGAAGTATTCTGATGGTACCAGGATTCAACAGGAGTGATGTTCACTAATTGGCTAATCATAAGCTATAGTTTAGTTTGATACATTGTAAGCCCGGATCTGCATTGTATGAAGGTAGAGAAAAAATTCAGATACATTGCATAGTCAACTACATGTTTCGTGGAAGCTATGCTTTGGTGAGAAACACAAATTTATGTCAAATTCTTCTCCCTTTCCACTCAGCAGTGGACATGAGTGGAGATGTTCTCAGCCTTTAAAGTTGTAAACATCTGATGTGTTTGATCAGAATATCTCGAAATGTAGTTACAGCTATTTCAAACGTATACCACTCTTGGTGTTCTCTTCCTACGTATTCTTGGTTTTAATGGTGCAGGACATTCCACATAGAGGTGTACGACATTCCACATGGCGATATATAAGGTTCCAAATGGTTTTGTACGACATTTCACACGGAACTGTATGACATGTTACATGGCGATGTACGACATTCCAGATGATTGTGTATAACATTCCAGATGGTTGTGTACGACATTCCAGATGATTGTGTATAACATTCCAGATGGTTGTGTACGACATTCCATATGGTAGTGTACGATGTTCCGCCTGCTGCTGTATGGCATTCCAATTGGTGGTATATGACATTCCACATAATTCGTTGAAGTTCTAATACTAACACGCGATAAATGACCAAATAACTTAATTTTAACGTTATACCTTCGAATTCCACCAATCTGACTCTGGGCCATTTTCTAAGCAAACATTTCGTACACTTCGGTAGTTATACGAGTTGATTCTTCAGGTCGGAGAAAAATATATGTTTAGAATACGAAAGAGCAACGATTGACTAAATTTCTGAGGCCGAATTTTGATTTTAATTCAAATTATGAACACTGAATATCTGCTATTACAGAAAGTGCCTCTGAAAGAAGAGCAAATTCTTGTTGTATGCTAATTAAGAAACCTTCTATAATGACTGAGTGAGTAATCAGCAACACGTCAGTTCACAGGGGAAACGCTGGATGAGAGCGACATATAGCTTAATGTCTACGTTACGTAGGAAGTTCAGAACTGTATGATAAATCGTATTGACAGCTACGTACATACCCATAACAGACGATCCCTAAGGGTTCTGAGCCTCAGTGGTCACAGCTGACCGAATTGACCCTAAAGGGACTCCTACAGACCGTATTACTCATGTATGAGTAATAATGAGTCATCCTAGTCGTCGTAAAGTAAACAAGAAGATTTAGTAGCAAATCATCATTTCTGTTTAGTAAAGTCAGTAAAGAAAGAGCAACAATTTTATTCACTCATCTAGAAATCCTCTTTGTTTGCACAACTAATTTGAGCTACTAATATTTAACGCAACTGGAATGATCTGGTTGCTAAGGAACGACAATACTGTTGTAATGACTAAAACAATACGTATTAGCTGAATCTCTTTCACTCACCTTGAAATCTCCTTTGTTTACTTCAGCTAACTCGAGTTGATAATATTCAACGAAACTTGAAGGATGTGGTTGCCAAGCAACAGTAATAGTGTTGTTTTCTGCTGTACATTCTTCTGGTATTAAAACAGGTGGACCTGGCGCTGAACCACAGAAAAGAAGAAAACATATGCACATTTAAACCACTGTTCTAATCTTACGATCTATATCTCTAATGTGATGTTTTTGAAAGCTAAACCTTTTTAAAACATCATTTGAGAAATAAAGAGATGTGTGGAATAAAAAATCGTTTTGTAATGTGAAAAAGTAAGATAATTCGATTAAGGTTACTTTATTAATTATATTTGTTAAAATCCTTTTAATAAGGTAAATATCTCCTCCGAGTTACACGTAAGGAAGTGATTGTTTTAAAATAAAATTGTTAATTCTAACAAGCTACACGCATAATTGCAATTAGCTACGATAAACGGTTGCAAGTAATGATAAACAATTAAAATTAATTTCAATACACTGCCCGCAATTAAGGAATTATGTTAGATAGCTTTGAGTTTGGTGTGTCGACTTAACCTTGGAGAATTTGCTGATCCTGGCTGAATTGTATCATGACTGAAAAGTTCGTTTGTTTAGAATATTCTCGCCAAGCTGCACAACAGCTCTCTACGTCAACCGCTACTAGGTTTGAACTGTTAGATTAGAAGGAATACAACTAGTCAATAGCAATTCTTGGACTACTCTAATCGAATAAAGATATTTGAATGTAACTACTGTAATACACTCAGGCCTAAAAGTGTGAAGCCCGATTTTCCGGCAGCGGACCGGGAACCATGGTTTTCAGTTTGGCACACTAACCACTAGTCGACGTCCGGTCCAAGGATTGAAAGAAAAACACCGAAGCTAAATTTCTACTATTTTGACATTTAGAGAAGAAAAAAAAAGGGAGGAGGGGTGAGGGTGGTGGAGAAGCGATGATAAGAGTCGCCATTACGGGTGTAATCTTCAAAATGTCATCCTCACAATAGAATGAATGTCCAGGCTTCATCGTATTCACAATAAATTCGTCGGCAGGAATTGTGAGAGGGCGTTCGTTGTTTATGTCTAAACGTCTGCCGATTTTTCCACTTTACCTGTCTTTTCTTTAACGAGCTTGTGCGATGCTGACGAAATGAGCATCAGAAAATACCTATCAACTGTTAGGTAAAAGATTCGATGCCATTCTCTTTTGTCCTCGACTTTTTTTCAGTTTCTTTTTTATTCCATCATTAATATGATATTGTTGGAATACGTTAATCATCCCGTGGAAGTATCCCAAACAATTATTAGCCAAATCCAATCTTTCGCGAAAGATTGAACTCAAAGCTTAAATATTTTGTGCATCACGAATTCCTAGTAAGGAGAAAATACGTCAGTAAATAAAACAATCTGGTTGTTCTGAGAAGAACAACTTGTTTAAGCGAATTAAGCTAAACGTGAGTTCGAGTTTTAAAAAAGAATATAAATTAAATTAGTTCCTAACTATAGCGTACATGATTTGTTCATGCGGATTACTGAGCTCGAGCTTGCGCCGTAACAACCAAGACACGAAATGTACGATGAAGCTCGTAATAATGCACGCGAATACCTGAACAATAACTTAAGGATCTGCGCTAAAACCACATTTTTTTCTGTATGCTGTATGATTATTTATTTATGTGTGTGAATACATGTACTGTGTATTACAGGCAATGTCATCCGTCTTTCACCAAACAAAAAACAAATATTTACGGTGCTACAGATAATCATTATACTTACAAGAAGATATTTTTTGAAGAATGATGACCTCTGACCTCACACATCAATAAAGATTTTAGGAAAGTTTCGAAAAGTTGATCGATCGAATAAATGCTTTGCCACAAGAGCTCTTAACTTTATAACCTTTCAACTCATCTGATTTACACAGAACCAAAGCCCTCCTTCTCTATACATAGGGCCGAGCGTGGCCCAGCAGTTAGCATACCCAGACTCTGGATCTGAGGGTCCATGGTTCGCTCCGCGCTTTGGGGTCATGGGTAGCTGAAAGAGTGACAATCATATCCCATTATTTGATCAGACAAGAGTACCCCAAAATTTGGTAGTGGATGGTGACTAGCTGCCTTCCATCTAGCCTATAAGCTCAAAATTAGGGACAGCTCTGAGCAGATAGCCCTTGTATAGCATTGTGCGAAACTTATAAAACAATCAAACAAACCTTTCACATATATACACTCACCTTTCACAAATCTATGGTCTAGTTGAACCTCTTTCTTACTTTTAGTTTTTACTATATTCAACTGTTCATCGACTAAACACTATTCAACAAGTTATCATATCTACAATATTCAACTGTTTATTACCTATACAATGTTTAACTGTTTACAATCTAAAACTAGATAACTGATTGTATTTATATACTAAAAACAGATTATTAAAATTGTTAATTTAAAAAGGGGGGAATAGAAATCTCCAAAAAATAGAAACAAGACAGGTAGCTTAAAGTGAAAATGCAAAGGAAACAAACAAGCATAAGGTTTGATACATTATTCCCTCAAGCTACAAATCCTCATTTGGACTCTCCTAAATATTACAGCTTTTATACATTGAGTCAAAATAGGGATTTGTAGCTTGAGTAAATAATGTCAACACTATGTCTATGTGTCAAAACTTAAATTTGTTTGTTTACTTTTTTGGCGATTGCATTTTCATTTTAAGCTACCTGTCTTGTTTCTGTATGTTTTTGAAAATCAATATTCCTCCTTTTTAAATTAACAATTTTAATAATCTTGTTGTATTTATATAGTTTTTTATGTCCATCCTGGATATAAATCTGTATAACAGCAATACTGTCCTATCGGAAACCGTTTAGTTTAATGAAATACATAGTTGGTGTATGATGCTCTCTCGGCAAACAATGACAACCTTTGGATTGGATTCATGCAGATTGGATGTCTATTGCTCCTGATATCGTTGCCACAATGTTATCATTGATAATGGTACTGTATGTAGCATCACTATGATGCATGGTGATCAACACACAACATGTTATATATATACTTGTAAAATATATATAACTACTATATTTATATCCTATTTCTTATAGTTGTTATATTTCCCCCCTTTCTCTTCCTTCTCCTCTCCGCTGACCATAGTAAGGCCGGTCACTGTTTTGCTACAGCTGACCATATTACTTCTTAGTGTGATATTCTGCTCACTCTACAAGGTCGAAAACGTGTTAATTAACAATTATTAATTGATGACATTAACATACATTTCCCCCCATTTCTCATGAAATTTGGGGGGTGACACTTCTACGACTGTGACGACCCTAACCGTCGCTGCTGCATATGAAACATCCTTGCTACTCCTTATAGTCACCTTCAAGGATGGCTATTCTATCTGCAGTATCTATAAAATTCGCAGTCACGCAGTGTTGGCTATAATTCGACACTTACCATCATCCATCACCGTGATTGCCGATCCGATGTTCGAAACTGAGCTTGGTGCTATTTTTTTAATTACGGCTTGTATAACGTTTTAGACATTTGAGTAATGTTTTATATGTTTGTGTAACATTGCCGAAATCGACATGCAGTGGTAAAAAAACTGTGATCCTGTCAGCAGTGTCGTGTCCGAAAGGACAGGAACCCTATACATAAACAAATGATACGCAATATCAATACAGTTGCAACAATAAGCTAATGATCGATATGGTACATGTGTTATGGCTGCCACATAAACATTAAATAACATCTACGACCTGCAGCTATGTGCGTATGCATGTAGTAGATTATGAGGCTTCATATAAATCTCTGACTACATTAAAATGATTGGATATCAACGGTTATATAAAAGCTGTTTTTGTTAAGTAGTTAAATATACTTAAAACTAACCTACCCAATGTTCAATGGTGCGTTTAGTAATGATGCCCAGGTGTTATTAATATACTCACAGCGATTTTTGTTCTAGGCTGATGGAACAATATTAAATAATAATATAGAACAACAAATGGGCGATCCCTATTATGACCCACTACTGTGGTTTATGATTAAACTGTTTATCATTCATAAGCTATTCAGTTGTTTATAATATATCCATTGTTTTAACAAGTTGTTTATAATATATCCATTGCTTTAACATGTTGTTTATAATATATATCCATAGTTTTAACAAGTTGTTTATAATATATCCATAGTTTTAACAAGTTGTTTATAATATATCTATTGCTTTAACAAGTTGTTTATAATATATCCATTGTTTTAACAAGTTGTTTATAATATATCCATTGATTTAACAAGTTGTTTATAATATATCCATTGTTTTAACAAGTTGTTTATAATATATCCATTGTTTTAACAAGTTGTTTATAATATATCCATTGTTTTAACAAGTTGTTTATAA